AGGCAAAAGTTCATCTTAATCTTAATGATTCGCAATTGAATATCAAAGACCCTCAGAATAACGATCATTCAGTCTCGTCTCATTGCTCAATTAATTGGGTAACAACAATGTCTCGAACTAAATTTCACTTAACGTACACGAAACATAGGTGTGTTTTAAAACTGAATTTGAAATATTTAGGTGGCAAACTGGAATAGAACAATCTTCGTAAAATTTCAGCACGACTGGCCGAAAATATATTTAGACTACAAATGCCTTCGAAGCGTCCAAATGCGACACAGAAGGTGCGAGCCAAAGCTTATTTTACGCCTATATGCTTGTGAATGGACAATAAGTATTTTCGCAAAGTTATAGCGCTCTGAACAGCTTGGTTTTCTAACTGGCATTTTACCAGCGACGACGGAATCACATCCTTGATATGCCCGTACTCGCGCAATAGGCATGCTTTAGAGCTAAATTTGAAATCTTTAAATCACACAAGCACATAGAATATCTTTATGAAATTTCTGCCTTCTCCCGTCTTCGGTTCTCGAAACCATTTTCTCGCCATAAAACTCACACTAATTTTTTTAGGACTTCGTACTTGAGACAAGCTGCAGCTGAGCACTGATTTTAAAATGTTTGAAAGGCAAGTTGGATAGGAACATCCTTGTGAAATTCCATTTTCCTAGTTTCAGGGTCTGCTATGTCGAACGTGGAGGACAAAGATTCGATCACGCACCGGATGAAAGAGTACAACACATAAACGCATGCTTGTATGCATGTAAAACTCACTACACATGTATTAGTGCGCTTAATTCGTTGCGTTCGATGCGTGAGTATGCAGTTTGTCTGGGTAAATTGCGATAACTGTGTTCATTGGAACAAACGGAATGTAATCCAGACGGCCCGTCAGCTATATCATAATTATGTTGCCAGTTTACTTTGGTGACATGCTGGAACAGCGGATGGGCTAAAGGAGGAATGAATGGAAATGCATAGTCGTAATTCCCTTCATAACACCGAAGCAATGCCTTTGCGGGTAGTGGCTGTGATAAGAGGTGCTGCTTTTTATGCGTTTTTACATATATGTAAATTGCAAAAACGCATATTGGGAAGAGGCTGTCTGTGTCTCTGTGTGTGTGGGTGTGTGTGCGTGTGTGTGTGTGTCGGTGTGTCTGTGTGTCCGCACTTTTTGTCACCCATTTTCAACTCGAGGACCAAAAAAGCTAGAAGGCTGAAACTTTGGGAGTATGTGCCTATACCATGCGTAACCCCCTGTTTTAATTTCATCCCCCTCGGACTCCTAGGTGCAGTGTACGGAGGCTATAAAAAATATACAAATTTTTTGGCGGGAAAGCGATCTCGGGAACTACATGAGCTGAGAGGCCGAAACTTTGTAGGGATATCCCCTGTGAATGTACTAGCTAAAGATTTCAAACTCAGCCTCCAGGTATGCGTAGTACTCACGTAAGAGCGTATGAAAGTTTTAGGGGGGAC